CCAGATGGTGATCAGTTGACAGCTCAGCTCCTCTCTTGACCCAAGTGTCCAAAACAAACGGCCGCAAATCAGATGATATGACTATAAAGTCAATCATCAATCTACGACCTAGGGTGTCCTGGTGCCAAGTAGGGATGCACCGATGCACTTTTTTAACATTCCGATCCGATCCCGATACCTGGAACTGAGTATCGGCCGTTACCGATCCAGTTCCGATATCATGATCATCATTGATTTTATATGAGGCTGCAATAATCTCCTCTCAAGTACAATTTATACAACTATATGCATGCATGTCCAAAAAGGCAACTTGAGGTAAGTTTTATTAATGTTGGATAAGTTTTAAAGTTAGAATTAAATTATGCTAACACAAAACATGTTTCTTTTTATTCCTAGTTTTAAAGTGGATATTAAAGTGATTAATTTAAGCGATTCTTTAAAGTTGTTTTATATTTTTTTTAAATAAGGGGCAGATATAAGATTTTTTTCTTCTTTCTGCACTCTTTTCATTCACTGTTTTCTTTTTGATGATTTTTTTTTACATTTTGTTTCATTTAAATGAATGAATAAATTAAATAAAATGTTAAATGGCTTCAAACATCTGCCAAGTTCATGGCATAAACCAACAGACATGTTCCTGTTTTTAGTATTTTACATCACTTTATAATGTAGCTGTTTATGTTTTTAATATATTTATAATTTTCAAATCATGTTTTTTTATGATTGTCTCCTGTTGTACTGATAAATATCTCCTGGAGGGTAAACTATATCTTGGCTGCAAGTATCAAGCTGTGAAATCCTTCATTTTCTACAAGTGATAGTGGTTGGTCATTAATTATGATGAAGTTTAGCAATTTCTCTGTAAACATTTGAGCTCCATGGTTTCAGCGATGTCTTCTTCTTGTTCAATCCGAAGCAAGCAGCCTGATTTGGGGCAGCCACGCTCAGTCTGTCCCTCCTCAGAGACGGGCAGATTGGACGCGGCTGGCCGGGGTCAAGTCGCCTCTTTCGGTTTGACCAAAGAGCAGCGCCCAGCTGAAGCCACGGAGCTCAAATGTTCATCGTAAAACTAACTTTAACGTGGTTTAATGTGGTGCTATGGCTCTGCAGACATTGCACGATGCTGTCTTGTGGTGTTTCTAGTGTAAAATACTTCCACACAGCGGACATGTTTAGATGAAAAGTTTGTTAGCTGTTAGCCACAGTGCTGCTAACTCAGTCCTCACGTTGTAGGTGCTGCAAACTATGAACTGGATTTCCTGAATGTGAGGCGGGTCTTATTACTCGGTTCATGAGACAAGCCGCTGTTCAGGAAATCCATTCCATAGTTTGAAGCCAACATACATCATGGATCGGAAATATCGGCAGGTGGATCGGAAAAATCCGATACGTAAATGATGCTGGTATCGGAGGCTGATACCGATACTGGATCGGATCTACCCCATCCCTAGCGCCAAGTGCACTTATGTTCGAACATGGTGTTTGTGATGGACACACTATGACTAGCACAGAAGTCCAACAACAGAACACCAGTCAGGTTCAGATCAGAGAAGCCGTTCCTCCCACTCACGCCTCTCAGTTACAATTGCCCCTGACAACATAGCTCCTAGGATCATTCATGCACACAAACTCCTCCACCATGATAAGGTGGCAATTCAAGGAGGATATATATAAAATATATCTATATAAATTTTACTTCCTCTTAAGGGATCTTACCAATGAATCAATGAAGTTCTATCTAATCTTATTTAATTCTAAGTAATTTAAATGTGAACTAAAGACATATTACCATTTAAACACCTGGATATTTTATTTTATGAACCTTTATTAAACCAGGCAAATCCCATTGAGATCACAGATCTCTTGCAAGGGAGGCCTGGACCTGAAGGCAGCCTAACATGCATGTTTTTGATCTATGGGAGGAAACCGGAGTACTCGGAGAAAACCCACGCAAACACAAAAAGAACATGCAAACTCCACACCGAAAGACCCCAGGTCCAACCAGGGATTGATTCCACGACCTTCTTGCTGTGAGGCAACAGTGCTAACCACTGAGACATCGTGCTGCCAGTAAATATACCGGATATATTAAGATACAATTATTAAAAACTTCCAGTTAATCAAAAAAGTTAAATCTGGTCCTCTGGACATTCAAAAAAAAAACAAAGCAACTCATCAACAACATCACTATTCCAATAACAACACATTCAGTGTAGGACAACACTCCAGTAGTCAATTACATGCCAGGGAGACAGAAAAGTGGGTGAAGAATTTATCTGACAGACAGCTCACCCAGCCAGAGACAGAGATTCTTGCCAGGGGACTGAACTTTGCGGTTGCACCAAGTAGAATTCCTCTGGTGGAGATGACCACAGCTACTGAGTCAGCCATCCGCAACAACAAAATTAAAGAAGCTGAAGCAGAACAGCTCAGAGTCAAAGTTTCAGCCTGCCTCAGTAATGCCAAACCACCACCTTCCAACATCAGTAGAGAGGAGAGGGACGCACTCACCACTCTCAGCAAGGACAAAAACATCATCATTCTCCCAGCAGACAAAGGAAGGTGCACAGTGATTTTGAACCAGAAAGACTATCATGAGAAAGTTATGACACTCCTTAGTGACGTAAACACTTATGAACCTCTGAAAAGAGATCCAGGAAGCGGTTACAAGAAGAAATTGATAGATTGCCTGAAAATTTTGGAGCAGGACAAGGCTATTGACCGTTTTCTGTACCACAGACTGTACCCAGGGGAGGCCACACCTAGTCTTTATGGTTTACCTAAAATCCACAAACAAGGTGTACCTTTAAGACCAATCGTTAGTATGATTAACTCTGTCACTTACAATGTTTCCAAATATCTGGCGTCTGTACTCATCCCTTTAGTTGGCAGCTCAGAACACCACATACAGAACACCATGGACTTTGTGGATAATGTGAGGGATGTCATCATGGAGACTGATGAAACAATGGTCTCTTTTGATGTCACATCACTCTTTACATGCATTCCTGTTGATGATGCAGTAGAGGTGGTCAGTTTAAAATTAAAATCAGACACCACTCTGAGCAGCAGGACCACGCTTTCCACAGAACAACTGTGTCAACTCTTGAAACTGTGCCTGCAGTCAACCTACTTCACATATGGGGAGCAATATTATAGGCAGAAACATGGGTGTGCTATGGGGTCTCCAGTTTCTCCTATTGTTGCCAACCTGTACGTGGAGGAGGTAGAAAAGAGAGCCTTGACGTCCTTTTCAGGGACACCACCAAGTCATTGGTTCAGGTATGTTGACGACACCTGGGTTAAAATCAAATCTCAGGAAGTCCAACATTTTACTGACCACATCAACTCTGTGGATAAATACATCAAGTTCACACGAGAAGATGTAAAAAATGGCAGGTTGGCTTTCTTGGACTGTGAGGTCTCAGTCTCTGATAGAGGACATTTGCAAACTGAGGTGTACCGCAAACCCACCCACACAGACCAGTATTTGCAGTTTGACTCCCATCACCCTTTGGAGCACAAGTTAGGAGTCATCAGGACTCTGTATCACAGAGCAGACAGCGTCCCCACTAGCTCAGGAGCCAGGCAGAAGGAGAAATCCCACACAAGACAGGCTCTAGAGCAATGTGGATATCCTAACTGGGCCTTCCTGAAAGCAGAGAAGAAACCCAAACAGGACTCCAGTCAGCCATCAGGTGAAAAGGAGGAACCCAGACCCAGACCAGTGGTCATTCCATATGTTGAGGGAGTATCAGAGAAACTGAGACGTTTATTTTCTAAACATAACGTCCCAGTGGCTTTTAAACCCCAAAATACATTACGGCAAAGACTGGTTCATCCCAAAGATCCAGTCCCCCGGCACAAACAGAGTAATGTTGTGTATGCTGTTCAGTGTCAGGAGGGCTGTGATCAGTCTTACATCGGGGAAACAAAACAGCCACTGGCCAAAAGGATGGCCCAGCACAGAAGATCAACATCATCAGGCCAGGACTCTGCAGTCTACACTCATCTCCAGGCCAGCGGTCACTCTTTCAGGGATGAAGATGTGCACATCCTGGATAGAGAGGAACAATGGTTTGAGAGAGGAGTAAAGGAGGCCATCTTTGTGAAAAGAAACCGTCCATCATTAAACAGGGGTGGAGGCCTACGTGTTCAATTGTCCCCCTCTTACAATGCTGTGATTGCTAGTATCACTCAGCCCTCTGTGAATAGTAAACAGCCATCAGGTGCTAATGATCCATTGTAAGGCTGATGGTCCTTCTTGAGCATGTGATCAGCTGGTTTTGGTTGTCAGCAGCAAAACTGGTTGATCCACTCTGAGAAGGTGCTATTTAAGAGACTGAGCTGAAAACAGCACCTCAGACTGAGGAAGTCTCTCGGACGAGAGACGAAACGTTTCTACATTTTTTGTTGTTTTGCTTTGTTTTTTTTGTTTTGTTTTTTTTGAATGTCCAGAGGACCAGATTTAACTTTTTTAGATTTTTCTACCTGGATTATTGAGCATGCATCAGGATATTTCCAGTTAATCAGTTTCACATTTCAGGTTGAACAAAATCCAAACTTGTTTTTCCATCATCATGAGCATCATTTTAGTTTTTTTTTTTTTCATTTTGGTAAACTTGGCACTAACTCCTAAAGGATCATCTCTGATGATCTCGTTAGTATGAACCAGTTCCTAAATGTGTCTTTCATTAAATGATGAACAGGTGTGTAGTTCCCTTTTGGTTTGAGGTTTTTGTGCAGACCGTGTCCAGTATGTTTTGTCATCATGTATTTGGTGAACAAGCACAAGCGTATTGATCAGCTGACCTGACTCGCAGCCATGATGCAAGTAAGCAAAGACACTTGGCTGTCAGGTTTATTTTACTCTTATTGTCACTTCACAGCACAGAAGCGACTGGTAGTGCCTTCCTAGCCAATTAGGCTACTTGAAGTGCTTTACAACACAATCTGTGTCCTCATTGTCCTCTTTTCTCACTGTCTCCGTCTCTCTGCAGGCTGCTGATCCAAGCTGGCATCGACATCAACAGGCAGACCAAGGCGGGCACTGCCCTGCACGAAGCTGCCCTCTGTGGGAAGACGGACGTGGTGAGACTCCTGCTGGAAGTAAGTGGATCTGTGAATAAAAACCTTCCAGCATTGGAAACTGAGACAACCCTCTACACAAAAATAAAAGATAAATAGTCTCTGTGGTGGCGTTAACATGTTTAAATCTGTTGAATATGACAACAACAGTCTGGTCTTCACAACTTTACTCTACAAAAATCATCAAATTAGTTTAGAAATGTTAAGTTATGTTCAAATTTATATGTAAGAAGTTATCAATGGAACACTGAAATAAGCATTGTTTTCAGTAACAACAGTTTAAAAGAAGTGGATGAACTTTTGGTAAGTTGTACTGCGATGAGCTAATTAACTTTGTATGAAAAATATCACTAAACACATCACAAACTTAAGAGGAGAACTGGAATAAGATGAATCTGTAAAAAAAAAAAAAAACAAAGAAAAAATAATAGGTGGTTTGAAAATGTTAAGGTATACAGTAACTACGTATGTACAGTTTGTAATGAAAAGCAAAATTATTGTAAGAAATAAAATGATAATATTAAAAAATAACAGTTTTTTTTTTTCACATAATTTAATGCAATGGTTCTCAACTCTGGTCCTTGAGGAACACCAGTAGTTTTTTCCTGCTCCCAACACCTGATTTAGGGATTTAATTACTTCCTCAAGTTCTGCAGAAGTCTGTTAATCACCCATTCTCTCAATTCAGCCGTGCTGGAAACAACTAAATCATGCAGGATGGTGTTCCTCAAGGATCAGGTTCGGAACCACTGATCTTTTGTACATATGAGCAAAAGATGGCCAGAAAGGACTTTGTTACATTCACAGTATAAAATAATGTTATGTAGACAACTGAAAACAAAACTTTTATTAAAACTGCATAAAAATTAATAATTTTTAACATCAAAGTAACATTTTGAACTTAAAGTCAGTGGAGTTGTTTTTTTTTAATATACACTCTTATTAAGATGGGATGTATTATATGGTGCTGTCCCTCTATCTGTCTGTTGACAATTTCTCTGATAACAGAAATGTCAAACTGACCCCTTTGTTAAAACCATGTTTGTGCTCCAACTTTACATCCGTCAGAGAAGTCAGACCCTTGTCCTTTATATTGTCTCCATCTGTCCATCTGTAAGACAGTCCACTCCATGGAAACTGTCATTAGACTATTGGACCCCATTGGACCTTATTTTCATCATGACCAGTTACACCAAATAAATCCTGTACTCTTAGTTCTGCAAAGTCTAATGCTGTGACTATAAACTGGTTTGAGAAGGCTGGTAGATAAGTTCTTCATGCTGAAACTGATAGCTGCAGTTTCATGTTCTTACATGCTCTTTAACTGAACTGTTTTGATTTAAACACAATGGACAGCATCGTCATCAGTCAAATTACCCTTTCACCCCACCACAATAATTTTTATACCTAATAGACTCACATATATTCAGATTGTTGTGAGAAGGAATTCATATTTTGGATTATGATTATTCTGACACTTTACAGACCTGCGTTTTACAGAATACTCTTGACTGTTGTATTTTTCTGGTAAAACCTGATTGAGACTATTACCCTAAAAGAGAGAATAAAAACTGTTCAAACTACAACAAACTCATCATTATCAAAAAGGAATAAAAAAGCACTGAAAGGTTTTTAACAACTGACAAAATAAACGTTTTGTTCAGTCGATGGCGCTGTCATCAAAGTGAGCTGCATGCTGTGGTAGAAGTAGAGCAGACCGACTTTTACTGACTTAAATGTTGTGCAGACGTGTTTAATAGATCTGAACTTTATGATGCATTGTGCTTTAAGTACAGTTCCATTCACACTGGAGGACAATCCCTGCTGTGCTATCCAAGTCTTAATCCAAGTCTTAATAAGTTGTACCTGGATTGCAGGAAATTTGGAAAACAATCATGATGCGGCCTAATATCTTGGTACTCTTCAAATAGGTTTATTAACTACTGGTCTCTGCATCTCCAAGATGTTCTCATGTTCTGTATGTTAGCAGCAAGTCTCCTCTACTTTACTACACTTGATCGCACCATGTCCTGTATCCCAACCAACCCTCAAACCATGTCAGGATGCAGCTATAGCTAAAAAAAACCCTGCCAAACTAGAATTGCTATACTGCCACAGGTATTTAATCTGTTCTACATTGTTTCCGTGATAACAAAAAAGGTTGAATCATGTCATCTGGACTTCGTTTTTTTTGTTAAAAAGAAACGTTTCGCCCCTCATCCAAGAGGCTTCGTCAGTCTGAGGCCTAGCCATCTGGTATTACCCAGAAGCCACCCTGACTCTTGTGTTTCAAGCCTGCCTCAGATACCCCTGAAGTCTGGCCTTTTCACTAATGGTTTCAAAAACACAAAGTTTGTTTCTCAGTCATCCAGGTATATAACAACAAAAAAGGTTGGCTAGGCCTCAGACTGACAAAGCCTCTTGGATGAGGGGCGAAACGTTTCTTTTTAACAAAAAAACGAAGTCCAGATGACATGATTCAACCTTTTTTGTTGTTATATACCTGGATGACTGAGAAACAAACTTTGTGTTTCCGTGATGTTGTCAAGAACATGGTCTTAGTCCAGTCACGAGGACTTAGTGATCAGTCGTGCTTCAAATTCTTAAAGACCAAGTCAGGCCAGTAAGTGAGGGCTCCATGTCTTGGATCCCCTGCCGCCACAATTCACCCAGGACCTCTACATGCTGACTCGACAATAATAAACCACCAAACCTTTCTCCAGATGTTTTGTGCATGTCTAAAACCTCTCTGAGATCTATCACACTCTATAAAGGGGAGCTTGCTGCCTTCCTCTTACGCCCCTGAAGACCTCGCCTAGACCCTCCATGTTCTGCCTGAATTTTTACAACATAGTAAGGTCGTCATTCAATATAAAGGGGACATAAGGTCTAATATGCACAACTATAGAGAAATATTGTCTGGTAGCTTCAGAAGTTTAACATTTTGTTGAATTAGAAATGGAAAAATGTGTGTTTTGTTGCGGTCTTTTTAAAGCCATCCATTCTAATGATGATCCAGGGACTAAAGTCTACAGGTCTCTCTAGTAAATGAGTCCTTGTGACTCAATGAGACTAACCTGTATAAATAAAGGTTGGATGAAAGTGATGCTGCTTTCAACCAATAAAGAGAACCAGAGCCACAGTTTGAGCCAATCAGAGCAGAGCAGGGTGGGTCGTGCTATCTGACACTTGGCGGGTTTGCACAGTGCTCCTAAGTCAGAGATAGATTGCAGGTGTGAGCACCGATCAGTGTTTCCGGGACTTTTTTCCAAGGAACCAGCCCCAGCCCCATCCCCACCCCACCGAAGGTGATGAAGTAATAATTTTTTTAATATGTGATCGCACGTAACCAATTCACTTCAGCCAGCGGAGATACCAGAACTGCTACACCACTACGCCCACCACCTCCTCCTGCACCACACCCCGTCCTACCAGGACTTTTGTATCTAACTGTTAATGTGTTTGGAGCATCACTATCATCGTATAGACATGTGCAACTTGTGCATGAATTAGACCAAGCTACAGGTCTGAGAGAGAGAAAGAGAGAGAGACTCAGTCTGAGTGTCTCTCATGGAGCGGGAGGAGGCTGCTGCTGTAGTACTTATAATTAAACGCTACAGCTTGAGAGGGAGGAGGGCATGATACAAACGCTTTTCTCGGGATGGTAGCAATAAAAGCCAAATGATTTATGAAAACAAGAGAGGTAATGTATTTTAATGGGCCTGTGTCCTCCAGCTTGTGAAACTAATGCTGTCATTTTAACCCCTGACTGCATTAGGCTGTGAGACTTTTCCCCAAAGCATGTTTGGACTGAAGTCATCTTTGTTCATTTAGCCTATATTTGATGCTGCTGAGCTAAATATGATGTTGTTTTGCAGCTTCCAGTTGTCTAAGCTGAAAAATAAGATCCAGTAAATCAGCAGAAGAACCAGATGGGACTTGGGTTACTATCTGTTCACATCATAATGAAAAATCACTTAGATTAATAAGGGGCCAAGATGGTGTAAAGGTAGGGCAGCCTTCTTGGGACCAGAAAGTCACAGGCTCAACTCCCCACCATGTCCACATGCCGTGGTGTCCTTGAGCAAGACACTCAATCCCTAACTGCTCCCCAGGTGCCTACATAGCTGCCCACTGCGCCACCTGGGTGTATCTCATGGGTATGCAGAGAACTAATTTTGTCATTGTATGAGAACATACACTGATGACAACACATAAGTCTTCTTTCTTTCTAATAACCTGCCCACTATTATCTTAGAGTCTTGTTTTTTGTCTTTTTTTAGAATAAAATAGACAGTAGAAACTAAGAGTTACCTCTTTTCTCCTTGTAATGCAGTAGTCCCTCGCTACTTAGTGGTTTGACTTTCGCGGACTCGCTCTTTTGCGGTTTTTCCAAGTAAGATTGGACATGACACACAATTGGCTGATTGATGGATGAGCCATGGATTGTTTATTTAAAATAAATTGTTTTCAATTATTTAGCACCTGCTAAATCATTAGGTGCAAGGAGAAGCTCCCTCCTGCAGCCTGTCATGATCTCCACTCTCTGCCACCTGCGGCTCCTTGCCACGCCCACATTTCTCCTGCTGCAAAAGCTTTGTGAAGGTTAACCCTTTGCTGTCTAGATGCACCGATCGACTTTTGTCTTCCAAGTTAAAATTCAAAGTATGTCATGTCTTAAAATCATCATAAACACAAAATATAAAAGTGTTAAAAGTAATTTTTAATTATGTTAGAACTTCTATGTTCATTTGTTTCAGTGTAATTGATCAAGTACAATTCTGCTCCGTGCTGCAGAGCTGCGTGAAGGGTTAACCTTTTGCTCTTCTGCTGCGCTTCTCTTCTCTACAATTTAAATTTATATACTGTAATAGTTCCATAGATTGTTTATTTAAAATATTACAGTATTTAAATTGTTTATTTACACAGAAGGAGGGATATTGGGAGGTGATGAGTGTAATTTTAGCAGAGAAGTGGGCTGGCAGAGAGCAGAAGGTGGCAGAGAGCTGAGATCATGACATTCTGTGTTCTATTAGAGCGTTTAGAGTTTAGAAACATTGTTTAGAATATTGCAAGAGTTTGGGAAGAGTTTAAAATGCCTTTATGTGTGTGTATATATATATATATATATATATATATATAT